GAGCCGATTCTGCTCCAGCCCCCCACCCCCACCCCGGGAGGGGGGGGAGCTCTGTCTTCAGGAAAGCTCTGGGCAGCAGTGATGGCCTGAGTTTGCATGCTAGAGAATGAGGTGGGGGAGACGGGAGCTGGGGAGAGCCAGGCTCGTGATCAGGGGTTTGGATCCCTGCTCCCCCACACCCCCTGGCTGCCTTTGTCCCGGCTTAGCTTTGGCTAGCCAGAGGCTCTGTCTACTCATCTGTAAAATGCATCCACAATTTCACCTTTGGGGTGACCCAAAAGAGGAAAACGAGACCCCCCATTTCCCTAGTCCCCAGAGGGACCTGATGGGCCTTTCCTGGTTGGTAGAGGTAGCCAGTGTGTTGGGATATGGTGTGTGTGTGTGTGTGTGTGTCCTAGTTGAAGGCTGTGTGGGGAGTTTGCTGGTGCCCCCATCCCAGCCTTGGTGGGCTCTCCGACCCCAGTCTCTCAGCTGGAGGTCCTCCGGCCTGTGACCCCTTGCTCTGTGGAGGGGAGGCAGGAGGAGGCACCACGGACTAGATCTGGAGGCCAAAGAAGGAGGAGGCCCGGTGGAGCAGCGGCAGACCCCAGGGCTGGAAGCTCCCAGGCCTCAGCGGGATTGGAGCGCTGTGAGCGCTAGGGGGCAGTGTGTCTGTTTGAAAGAAGCTTGCAGGCGCGTGTACACACACACACACACACACACACACACACACACACACACACACACAGAGGCACACGCAGGGGCTCCCACGCTGTGGCGGTGCCCACGGCTCAGGCACGGGCACCGATGGACAAGGCTAAGAGCGTGTCCTCCATATGCAGAAGAAAGCCCAAGAGCAGGACGCAGATGCATAACAGACACAGAGAGACGTGCACCCCCCGAAAAGGGGGCCCCAGATAATACACAGCTCTGTGCACACGCAGGTACCCAGCCTCTCACCCAGGCACACGCACGCACACACACACACACACGCACAGAGTCACGTCACGCATGACACAACATTCCTGGTGTTAGAGCAAGGGGACCAGACACCCCCTTCCCCACAAAAACAACTGGCAAACACTCCCTCCTTTCAGACACACACCTTGCAGCTCACTCTTGGAATAAGCCCCAGAAAAACACTCCGACACCCCCTTCCCTCTCTAGAGCACAAACAGGAAATCTGCCCAGGTGTGCAGGGGACCCCCCTCCATCGGGGACCCCCCCCCAGCCATGTGTGCAGTCAGACCTCAACGTCCCTCCCTGGGGGAGGGGGTGGTACTCCCCAAACGCAGGCCTGGAAGTCAGTCTTTCGATCTCCCCAGCCACCCCAGGACCTTGGCAAGTCCTCATCTCTCTCTCCTCTGTCCAGACAGCAGAGCACCTCCAGAGCCCCCCACCCCACCCCCTTGTATGACCTGGGGTCAGGCCTTTGCCCTGGTGGGGGTGCCTGGTCCAGGCAGGACCTTCCGCCCCCCCCCCCCCATCCCATCCTGCCCTGGCCAGGAGGTTCAAGGTCTTCCAGTTTTGGTCTGAGCCTCTTGGGGCCTGGGCAGGCATCACTGGGGGGGGGGGGGTGGTACCCAGATCCTTTATATCTTTGTCCCTAAATCAGCCGACCCAGTCTTTTCTCCAGCTTTCACTTGCCTGTCACTTTGGTAAGTAATAATTTCCATGTCCAATTCCATTTCTTTTCTCGTTGTGAAACCTCTAAGCTATCAGCAAGAGGATAGTTCACATGAAAACTAATTACACAAAATCAATATTTAATCACAGACCAACAACCTGATCCTGCAGAAAAAATCCCTTTAAAACTCCACCGCCCTGTACAAATAGTTCTTCCTATGCTTATTTATGGAACCCATTTTTGGTGGGAGTCATTTTCATTTTTAATTTGGAGAAGGAAAAAAGAAAATCTGTAGACTCCAGCGAGGGCCTTTGGATCTGAGTTTTGCTTCGGCTCTCTGAGTTTTAAAGTTGGTTGATGTGTGTGTGTGTGTCTGTGTGTGTTGGGGTGTATTTCCCCCCTCCCCCCGGAAGTCCCTGAGACTCTGCTTCCTGTTCCTGCCACCCCTAAGTTGAGCCCATTTTCCAGCATGGTTTTCAGGGTACCAGCTCCAGCTGGAGCCATGAATCCAAGAGTGCACCCGGGAACTTTTAACTCGTGCCGGGCGACACGGAGCGCTTAATCTGAGGTTTTTAAATAAAAAGGGCTCAGGGGTTGGTTTTATTATAACGTTTATTTCATTTCAGATTTCATGCGCAATTTAGCAAATGCTAGACAGACTTGGGCGATAAACACGTTTCTTTTGTGTGTGTGTGTGTGTGTGTGTGTGTGAGCGCGCGCGTGGGGGGTGGAAGGCATGTTTTATCCACCCTGCTTAATTTTATTTAGATTTAATAACGATATCAGGGGCACTTCAACCAAAAGTTCCTCTCCCCGCCCCCCACCCCGCCTTCTCCTGAGAAGGTTGGATTGCCAGCGAGATCCTATTAAAGGCCTTCCAACTCCTCCCCCTCCTCCTCCTCCTCCTTTCCCCCTCCTCTTCCTCCCCCTCCTCTTCCTCCTCCTCCCCCTCCTCCTCCCCCTCATCTTCCTCCTCCTCCCCCTCCTCCTCATCTTCCTCCTCCCTCCTCCTCCTCATCTTCCTCCTCCCCCTCTCCCTCCTCCTCCCCCACCCCCTCCTCCCCCTCATCTTCCTCCTCCCTCCTCCTCCTCATCTTCCTCCTCCCCCTCCTCCTCCCCCACCCCCTCCTCCTCCCCCTCCTCTTCCTCCTCCTCCCCCTCATCTTCCTCCTCCCCCTCCTCCTCCCCCTCATCTTCCTCCTCCTCCTCCCCAACTTACTTTAAAGAGAGGAACAACGTGCGCGCGGGCACACACACTCACACACTCACACACACACTCACACACACACACACACACACAACCCCTTACTCCTCATCACCTCTAGCTTCCAACTTCTAATTGCAAGATGGATTTCAGCCTCGGTGGGGATCAGGAAGATCTCAACATGTTAACTAAGATTATTGGGATAAATATTTCATAAAGAGCGGGGCAGATATTAAATTACGCCTATTGATTTTAGTATCTCAGCCCAATTGCGTGCTCGGCCTCCCCGGCTTAATTGATCTCTTAAGGAGGCCGCCCTGGCGCCCGCGCGGGGCCGGGGCTCGGGCCGGCGCTGCGGCCCGGTGGGGCGCCCCCCCCCCCCCGCACGCCCCCCGCGCCCCCGGCCGCCGGACCCCACCGCTGTGTCCCCCAGAAAGCGGCCGAGCGCGCGCCGGCGGCGGCGGCTGGGAACCGGAAGCCCCGGGCCGGGGGACCCCGGGACCGACCCCGCGCGCCCCAGCACAGGCGGAGACCCGAGCGCGCCCGGGCGTCTCTTGGAGAAGCGTCAACTTCGGGGTTCCTCCGGGAAAATCCCGGGGCCCGCTGTCTTCCGCGCCGACGGGTGCGAGCCCCGGGGCCGAGCGCAGCCGACACTTCGCTACTTTGCGCGGCCAGTCCAGGGGCCCCGCCAGGCGACCCCATTGTCTGCGCCCCGCACGGCTGGCCGCCCGGCTCCCCGCCCCCTGCCCACCCGGCGGGTCCGGCTGCGGTGGGGGGTGGGGAGCCGCGCACCGGGCGACGGCGAGCGGGGGCCGAACAAAGCCTCGCTCCCGCCATTCTCCCCACCGCCACCCCCGTCGCCGGCTCCCTCTCCAGCCCGGGGCGCCCCGAGGTCGGGGAGCTCCCCCTCGGCTCGCCGGACCCCGGGGGCCGAGCGAGACCGGGGGCAGGGGACCCCGGAGCGGAGGCAGTGCCGGGTTCGTGGCGGGGGAACCTCGGTGGCCAGAACCCGGGACCACCTTAAGAGCGAGCCCCGCCCCGAGCCCGGAGCCTGGGCGGCGCTGATTGGTGCAAATGTAATGGCTGAAATTGATTGCTGAAATGCAAAACTTGTTGCTGCTTCTCCCGGCGCTGGGCGAGAGGCAGACGCGGAGAGGGGAGCCGAGACCCTCGGAGCGCCCCACGCGGAGCCCCCGCCCCGCCGGCCCGGAGAGGGGCGCGCGGACCCCCCAGCGCCGCCCCCGCCCCCACCCGGGCTCGGAGCTCGCGCGCTCGCCGGGCTTGGCGCCCCAGCCTGCGGACGCCCCCCCTTCGCCGGGTCCGAGGGGGGCTCGCGGAGCGCCTCGGCGCGGAGGCCGGGCCCGGAGCCGCTGCGCGTCCGCCCGCGCCGACACCCCGCGAACTCACGGACCCAGCCGCCCGGGGCCCAGCGGCGGCAGCGGCGCGCGGGGCTCGGCGCACCCGCCGCGGAGGGAGCCGGGGACCTCGCCTTCCTCCGGACCCTGCGCTCCAGCCCCGGCCCCTCCGCCTCCCGGGCTCGGGGAGGCCGGCACCGGCGATGCGGAGCGGAGCCTCCGGTCCTCCGGCCCGCTGAGGAAGCTGCCGCCGTTCTCCCGGGGCCGACGGGGACCGTGCGAGCCGATCGCGCCCGGCAGAGGCTCCGGCTTCGGGGCGCTGGGACTCCGGGAGGAGGGGGGCAGGCGCTCGGCCGGCGCCCGGGCTCCAGCCTCGGCGGCTCTCCAGGGTTTCCCCGCCGGCCCTCGGCCGCTCCACCGCCGACTCCGGGAGGCCGCCGGCTGCGTCCTGGGGGCTGCCCCACCGACCCGACCGGACCGAAGAAGGTGATCGCCCAGCCTCCCCGCCCTCCTTCCCGCCCCCTTTCCCCCGGCTGAACTTTTTTTTTTTTTTTGTCTCGGCTCGCCCGCCGCTCGCCGCCCTCACCGCAAACCCACCCGCGGCTGTGCCAACCGCCCGGGGCATGGGCCCCCCAACACGGCTCCAGTAGGCCCCGGGGCCTCGGAGGATGTGAGAGGCCCGCCCGGGACAGACCCAGAGCTTCGGGAGAGGAGCTGCGCCCCGCCCCCCCTCCCCAGCCTCTCCGCGCCCCGGCCGTGCGCGCTGCGCCCCCGCCGTGCCCGGCGTCCTCGAACCGCCCGGTCCCGGGCTGGAAGGAGTCTCAGCCGGCCGGAGGCGCGCCGTGGAGAGCAGGCTGCTGCCATGTCCTACTGAGCCCCCGTGCCCCCTGCCAAGTATGTTTGGGCTGGACCAGTTCGAACCCCAGATCAACAGCAGGAACGCTGGCCAGGGCGAGAGGAACTTTAACGAGACCGGACTGAGCATGAACGCCCACTTTAAGGCCCCCGCCTTCCACACCGGGGCCCCCCCTGGCCCCGTGGACCCTGCCATGGGCACGCTGGGCGAGCCCCCGCTCTTGGGCATGAACATGGAGCCCTACGGCTTCCACGCGCGCGGCCACTCGGAGCTGCACGCCGGGGGCTTGCAGGCGCAGCCCGTGCACGGCTTCTTCGGCGGCCAGCAGCCCCACCACGGCCACCCGGGAGGCCACCACCCCCACCAGCATCACCCCCACTTCGGAGGCAACTTCGGCGGCCCGGATCCGGGGGCCTCGTGTCTGCACGGGGGGCGCCTGCTGGGCTACGGGGGCGCAGCCGGCGGCCTGGGCAGCCAGCCGCCCTTCGCGGAGGGTTACGAGCACATGACGGAGAGCCAGGGCCCGGAGAGCTTCGGCCCGCAGCGACCCGGAAACCTCCCGGACTTCCACAGTTCGGGCGCCTCGGGCCACGCCGTGCCCGCCCCGTGCCTGCCGCTGGACCAGAGCCCCAACCGGGCCGCCTCGTTCCACGGCCTGCCGGCCTCCAGCGCCGCCGATTCCCACAGCCTCGAGCCGCGGAGGGTCACGAACCAAGGAGCCGTCGACTCGCTGGAATACAATTACCCGGGCGAGGCGTCCTCGGGACATTTTGACATGTTTTCCCCCTCCGATTCCGAGGGGCAGCTGCCTCATTACGCAGCGGGTCGCCAGGTCCCGGGGGCCGCCTTCCCGGGTGCCTCGGCCATGCCCAGAGCGGGGGGCATGGTGGACTTGTCCAAAATGCACGCCCAGCCACCGCAGCAGCCGCCGGCGCAGCAGCAGCAGCAGCAGCAGCAGCAGCAGCACGGCGGGTTCTTCGAGAGGTTTGGAGGGACCCGAAAGATGCCGGTGAACCTGGAGCCGGGGGTGGGCTCCAGGCACCCGCTGATGCAGCCGCCCCAGCAGGCCGCGCCGCCCCCCCAGCCGCCGCCGCCGCCGCCGCCGCCCCAGCCGCAGCCGCCGCCGCCCCCCGGGCTGCTCGTCCGGCAGAATTCGTGCCCGTCCGCGCTCCCGCGGCCCCAGCCGGGAGAGGCGGGCGCCCCGCCGGGCGCCGGCCTGCAGGACGGGGGCCCCATGTTGCCCGGCCAGCACGCGCAGTTCGAGTATCCCATCCACCGGCTGGAGAACCGGAGCCTGCACCCTTACTCCGAGCACGTTTTCAACCTGCAGCCGCCGCCGCCGCCGCCGCCGCCGCAGGCGCCCAGCCAGCGGCTGCAGCACTTCGACGCGGCCCCTTACATGAACGTGGCCAAGAGGCCGCGCTTCGAGTTCCCGGGCGGCGCGGGCGTGGAGCGCTGCGCGGCGTGGAGCGGCGGCGGCGGCGCCGGCGGCGTGCACGGCGGCGGCGCCCTGGACAACCACCTCTCGCCCTCCGCCTACCCCGGCCTCCCCGGCGAGTTCACCCCGCCCGTGCCGGACAGCTTCCCCGCCGGGCCCCCCTTGCAGCACCCGGCCTCCGATCACCAATCCCTGCAGCAGCAGCAGCAGCAGCAGCAACACCAGCAGCAGCAGCAGCAGCAGCGCCAAAACGCGGCCCTCATGATCAAACAGATGGCGTCCCGGAACCAGCAGCAGCGGCTGCGCCAGCCCAGCCTGGCCCAGCTAGGCCATCCCGGCGACGTGGGGCCCGGGGGCCTGGTGCACGGCGGCCCGGTGGGCGGCCTGGCCCAACCGAACTTTGAGCGCGAAGGCGGCGGCGGCGGCGGCGGCGGGGGCCGGCTGGGCGCCTTCGAGCCGCCCATGGCGCAGGAGAGCGCGTGGTTCCCGGGCCCGCACCCGCCGCCCGGGGATCTGCTGCCCCGCCGCCTGGGCGCCTCGGGGCTGCCGGCCGACTGCGGCCCGCACGACCCCGGCCTGGCGCCCCCCGCCCCGCCCGGGGGCTCCGGGGTGCTGTTCCGGGGCGCGCTGCCGGAGCCGCTGCGGATGCCGGGCGGGGAGGGTCCCGGGCCCGCGCTGGCCTCGCCGGGGCTGCAGTTCGGGGGCGGCCTGGCGGGGCTGGGGCAGCTGCAGTCTCCCGGGGCCGGGGTGGGGCTGCCCGGCGCGGGCCCCGAGCGCAGAGCCCCGCCGCCGCCGCCGCCGCCGCCGCCGCCGCCTCCGGATTTCGCCGGGCCGGCGCTGGGGGCTCAGCCGGGCTTCCCGTTCGGCGGCGGGGCGAGCCGGCCGGCCCCGGCGCACGGCGGCCCCGGCGTGAACTCGCCCCCGAGCGCGGGCGGCGCGGGCGGCGGCGGCGGGGGCGCGTACCCCCCGCAGCCGGACTTCCAGGCGGGCCCGCGCTCCTCGGCCAGCAAGCTGGGCGCGCTCTCCCTGGGCTCCTTCAGCAAGCCCAGCTCCAAGGATAACCTGTTCGGCCAGAGCTGCCTGGCCGCGCTCTCCACCGCCTGCCAGAACATGATCGCCAGCCTGGGGGCCCCCAACCTCAACGTGACCTTCAACAAGAAGACCCCGCCCGAGGGCAAGAGGAAACTGAGCCAGACCGAGGGCGAGGGCGCGGCGCCGGGGCCCGGCCACCCGGGCTCGGATTACTTCCCGGGAGGGACCCCGGGGCCCGGAGGAGCCCCGCCGGGGACCGGAGGCGGCGGCGGCGGCGGCTCCAAAGCCTCGGGCCCGTGCAACCCGTCCAGCCAGGGGGACGGCACCAGCCTGTCCCCCAACTACACCCTGGAGTCCACGTCGGGGAACGACGGCAAGCCGGTCCCCGGGGGCGGCGGCCGGGGGCGAGGCCGCAGAAAAAGGGACAGTGGGCACGTGAGCCCGGGGACCTTCTTCGACAAGTACTCGGCGGCCCCGGACGGCGGGGGCGGCCCCGGGGTGAGCCCGGGACAGCAGCCGCCGCCGCCGCCACCCGCCCGGCCCGGGCGCGGCCGTCGGGGGCGGCGCGGCGGGGGAGGCGCGCGGGGCGCCCACGCCCCACGAGAAGGCCCTCACGTCGCCGTCGTGGGGCAAGGGGGCCGAGCTGCTCCTGGGGGACCAGTCGGACCTCATGGCCACCCTGGACGGCGCGGCCAAGTCGGACGGGAGCTCCCCGCCCGTGGGGGAGTTCGCCTCGGAGGAGGTGAGCACGAGCTACACCAACGAGGACGAGGTGTCGTCCAGCTCCGACAACCCCCCGGCCCTGGCCAAGGCCGGCCGCAGCCCCCTGGTGACCGGCTCCCCTAAACTCCCGGCTCGGGGAGTGGGCGCCGGCGAGCTGGGACCGAAGGCGGCGCCGCCCGCCCTGGGCCTGGGCATCTTGTCTACCTCTACCTCCACCCCTGACAGCTACGGCGGCGGCGGCGGCGGCGGGCCGGGGCACCCGGGCACCCCGGGCCTGGAGCAGGGCCGGACCCCCACGAGCAGCGGGGCGCCGCCGCCCGAGGAGGTCCACCCCCTGGAGATCCTCCAGGCTCAGATCCAGCTGCAGAGACAGCAGTTCAGCATCTCCGAGGACCAGCCCCTGGGGCTCAAGGCCGGCAAGAAGGTGGAGTGCCCGGGCGTCGTCGGGGCTCCGGGGGCGCAGGGCGGAGGTGGCGGCGGCGGCGACAGCTGCTGCTCCGAGGCCGTCAAGAGCGCCATGAGCACCATCGACCTGGACTCGCTCATGGCAGAGCACAGCGCCACCTGGTACATGCCGGGGGACAAGGCCCTGGTGGACGGCGCGGACGACGACAAGGCCCTGGCACCCTGGGAGAAGGCCAAACCCCAGAACCCCAACAGCAAAGAAGGTATCCGCGCTCGGGCGCCCTCTCCTCCTTTCCCTGTCGCCTGCCCCTTGTCTGTCTGGCGCAGCGCAGGCCTCAGTCTCGGCTCCTTGGGACTCTTGGGGTTTGGAGGGCACCCGCTTTCCTAACGCCCAGGTCACAGCCAGGTGGTCCTGACACCCCCAGTCTCTAGGCCCCACCAGCCCGCGTGTGGATGGACAAGGGGGGGGCAGGAGGGTGGGGGAGTGATGCAAACTTTGATGACTTTAGAGTCCCGCCCCTGGCGAGAGAGCTGGGGACAAGTCCACCCCCCCCTGCTCTTCACCGTTCTGGGAGGGGGGGTGTCCCGGCTTAAGGTGGGAGCCCCCCTTGTTGGGGCTGGACACCTGCAAAGCTGTGTCTGCTCTCTGTCTGTCCGCCCGCCCACTCTCCCTTTCCTACTTAGCCAGCCTCAAGCTTGAGTGCGTGACAGCATCATTACAGGAAAAGTTATCAGGTGCCTGCAGGGTGCACAGCCCTCCTCCCTTGTCTCCTCCTCTCCCCCCCCCCCCCCCCAATAGCCGGTCTGTGTTTTCCTAATGATTGTGGAGTTTCATGGAAGAAGCTGGGCACCTGTGAAGGTTGTAGTAGTCAAGCAGCGAGTTTAGGATCCATCTCCTTGTTGGGGGGTGTTGGGGGGGGCTAGAGCTGGGGCTGGGGTTAGGGATGTGAATCTGTACGCATTCTAAAGACAGAGAGGACCCGCTTGTGTGAGGATCCTGCTTGGCTTTGGTGACAGATGTCCAGGCACTCATTGCTGGTCTTTTGGATTGTGAACACCAGGTTGTCCCAAACCAGGCCTGGAGGCCTTTAGGGTAGGAGGGGGATCACCAGTTCCAAGTTAACAGTAGTAACAGTTCAACCCCAAGAGGAGTCCACTACAGTGGGTATCCATTTTATTTTCATATCTGGTTTGGTTTGGATTCTAAGACTATAACTCGCAAGCTTCTTAAAATGAGAGAATGTCATCTCTCTTCCAGTCTGTCTCCCTCTGCTTTTAAGAACAAACAAACAAACAAAAAGCCCTCCTTGATTTCCCTAGGTTTTGTGGTTAGAATATTGACCCCACCGGCTCCCATGGGCTAGCAGATTTAAACTCTGGTCCTTTTGAAAAAGATGTCTCTTGATTTCTGCCTTCTCTCATAGTCCGCCCTCTGCTCTTCCTCTGCCTTTCCTGCATCTTCCAGGGAGCATCCCAATTCTGGATTTTGAGTGAGGGGAAGTCCAGTTGAGGGGAGAGGAGAGGCAGAAGAGCAGGCTGGGAATTGGGGTTCAGAACTCGCACCCATCCTGGTGGGTAGCTTTTCCAAGCTCTCCCAAGGCTCCGACATATCCTAGCTGCTTGTGTCTTTGTTCCCGCGGTTGCCCGGCCTGGGTGCCCGGGATGCTTGCTCTCATTTGAAACTGGGTGTTTAGCATGCATAGCAGATACCCGGGCTGGGCCAGCATCAGCATTCTGTAGCCTACTCCCAAGCAAAGCCATAAATTGCTTAGTTTGGGACCCTCAGCCTCTTTTTTTTTTTCCTTTTTAAAAAATGGAGTTGGGTACAGCATCCTGCTTGCTGGGCCTGCCTCCCCTTCTCTTTTATTTTCTTGTACACAACATCTCGCTCCATCCAATCGATAGCTGGTTAGCACAAATCTCAGCCCCTGTCACTAATACCTGGTCTGGCCTGGCTGCCCCCTCCCCCTTCCCCCACCTCCATCCCTATCCGGTAATTAAGAAAAGTTTTTGTTTTTTCGCATGGTAGAATGAATAAAGAAAATCAGTCTTACTTCCCCTTGCAGATCTTTTAAAGAGCCTTGCTAGGTTGAGTGGTGTTAAGTGGAGAGGTATTAAATTAGATTATTTTTTAAAAAGAGTCTTCCTAAGCCTGTCCCCAGCCCTGAAGATACAGAGCCAGACTTGGAATGACTAAATATCCTGACATGTTTCGTTTTGTTTTGTTTCATTATCACAGTGAGAAAGAGAAGAAGAAGGGGGGAAAAATCTTTTCTGGAAACACATGGTTGTCAATTTCAGGTTGATTTTCCCTGTGGGAAGCTAAGGCCTTCCTCCAAGGAGCAGCTGGGGGCGGGCAGGACCCCCACTTGACCTCCTTTGTTTTCTCCTTCCATGTGGTAAAGACAGTTTCCTAGATAAAGCTCAGAATCGAGGTCACTCCACGCTGCCAGCCTCCACTCAGCCTCCAGGGCTGCTGGTTCAGGCCTTTAGAAAGAGGGCTGCAGTAGATTCCCGGCTCTCTTCCTAGTAGTAAATAAAGATGATTACAGTTTTCATTGTGATAAGGCCCTGCTGGTCCATCTGTACAGGTTGTATAAATAGGTATACAGAGCCTCCCATGGCAGCCCCGCCTCCCAGTGCCCCAGCTAGACATCACCAGCCAAGTGTGCCACTCGGAAATAGAGAAATGTACAGGGGGGAAAAAAACCCTGCTGAGTTCCCTTTAAACACACAACCAAACACATACCCATGGGTCCCACCACCCTGAGATGTCCCATGGCATTACCTATCCCCTTTTCTAGAAATTCCAGCTCTGGCCCTCTCCTCTCCCCCCCTACTCCCCTTCCCCCAACGGCCCAAGCCCATTTTTGTAATGATATTTTTTATTTTGTCACGCCGTAAAACACACCAGTACTAATGTGATTAAATATTAACACTGCTTCTGAAATTCTCCGCTCCGATGACAGAAAGCTCCTCGGTATTTAACGGAATGATCCGATCTAGTCTAAGATTGGAGGGAGTGTGTGAAAAGTCTTCCAGGATCATTACAAGATGAGGCAGCCACAGTCCCCTAGGAGGGTAGGGAAAAAAGAAAAAGAAAAGGAAAAAGAAAAACTTGCCAAGCAAGTTCTCTTAAAAACTCCAAGCCAGGATCTCCTGTGATTATGATTTTTCTTTTTTTACATTAAGAAAACAAGCCTGTCCAAATTCTACTTTCTTTGACTTGGGGAAACAATCTATGGAAGTATTTTTATAGAACAAAACGGCATCTGATCACGAGGCTCTGTTTGTGCAAAGTTGGGGAAGGGTAAGATTATAAATAGGTTGGAAAAAAAAAATCCCTGCCTGAGTTTGGGGGCCTCTTTAGACATCTCTGAAGTTAGAGAGGATGACATGAATTTAAAAATAGTGTGCAACACTGTCTGCCTATCTAATAGCTGTGGGCATGGGTGGTTATGGAGGAATTTGAAGCTGGAGAGAGAAAGAAATAATAATAACAACAACAACAATAGTAGAATACAAATAGATAATAGAGAAGAAAGTCAGAACTGTGCCCTTTTTCTTTTCTGCCCCTACCAGTGTTGGAAGCCTGAATTGGCCATGTGCTGTTTGTTCTAAGTTTGCTGTGCTCCTAACTTCCTTTCTCTTAGTTGATGTCTTAGCAATCAGCCTCGATGAGGCTCCGGCACATCTTGGAAAAGAAGGCCGCCTCCACGCAGGCTCTCTACCCAACCCTGCTCTTTCTTCCTTTTCCTTTTTTTTTAATTAGACATCTGATGTTTTGACAGTGATGTGGAGACACTAGGAATTCCATGCCTCTCCCAGTGTCCGGAGAGAGTTGGGGTAGGCAGCCCTGGGGAGTATTAGGCGGCTGGGAACTGACTTGAACAGTGGGCCTGTGTACTCGGAGGACGTGAAGGGTGGAAGATCCTGGCCTCGGGGTCAAGCAGTTTCTCAAAGTCACCAATCCTTGCTTCCTATATCATAGAAGGTGTCTGTGTGTCTGTGTGTGCGTGTGCATGTTGATGTGCCATTACTGGGACTTGAACTTGGGGCCTGGGAACTGCCCCTTGGTTCTTTCACTCAAGGCTCTTGCTCAACCACTTGAGCCACAGCTCCACTTCCAGCTTTGTTTCTTTTCTTTTCTTTTGGTGGCTAATTGGAGATGAAGGTCTCACAGACTTCCCTGTCCAGGCTGACCATCCTCAGATCTCAGCCTCCTGAGTAGCTCGGATTACAGGCGTAGACGCCTCCTGCCGATGCCCGGCCTGGGAGAGAATTTGAAAGGCTCCCTCCCACTTGTGTGGGGTTGGTACAGAACTGTCACAGATGCGTTTCTGTGCAGAGCCGGGCAGGTCCCCTGCAGGCCTGCTGCTCTGTCACCTTTGCGCCCTAGCTCCGGAAGATGTAACCCAAAACTCTGCAGGTGTTCATCAAGTGTGATGTAAAGAGATAGGGGCTCTCTTCGTGCAGCTAACGTGTGTGTGTGTGTGTGTGTGTGTGTGTGTGTGTGTGTGTGTGTGTGTGTAGATGCTTGCTCCCTTGACGAGGACAGGACATACCACTACTGTTCTGGGCTGCTTGTTTAATATTTCATGGCGGTAATAAACCTGTCTTTGCTGCCCGCCTCCCGACATACACCCCCCCACACGCGCATACATCTGCAATTATACATTTCCACTAAATATTAATAAAGGGCGTGCATATATGTTTTCAGGGGCTGAGGGTATGTGGAGTAGAACTTGTCATGGTTGTGCGATTGGATTTTTTTCTTCTTTCTTGGCTGCGTTGACTTCAAATTGCGATCGCTTTCCCTAATTTGCAATATATACTTGACTATTCTCATCAGCGTCCGCGTCTGGGCGGGTTTTGCAGAGTGAATGCCTCTCTCCTCGGGGCTAGCTTCCTTTTGTATAAATTACATTTAGATTTCTTGGGAGATTCCTTCAGACCGGAAGTGAGACACAACTACACAACTGTGAAAAGGTACTTATTTCCCTCCCCCCCTCTTTTTTTTTTTATTGAGGGTTCTTGGAAAGGAGCGTGTGGGTTGTTGAATCTAATTTCTCTTTCTCGCAACGGAATTCTGTGATTTCTGATCTGATTTTCCTCCCCACATCCACCCCGTGTGGAGAGGCCGAGTAGACAGGTTTTTTGTTTTTTTCCAAAAGTCACTCGTGGCTGAAAACTTGTGTTCATCGCCAGTGGCGAGTCTCTCTCTACTTCGGTGACAATCACAATAGATTGGTGGTGTTTTTTT